CTGTGCCCTCCACCTGGAGTTGCAGAGGAGCAGGGTGGAATCTGTGAGCAGTGCGAAATGCGCTTTCCATGGCCGAGTTTGCACAGGCGCGGGTCTATCCGTGAACCGGTGGGAACGGTGTTAGAAAGCGCATCGTTCAGGGCTACGTCAGTGAGCTAAACCCCCAGCCTTCATGATGCTTGTGCTCCAGAGGAGAGAGACCGACAGTCATAAGTGAACTTAAGTAAATAGTGTATTAGGTGGAACAGAGAAAAGAGCAGAGGAAAGGGGGATCAGGTGTGCGTTTTGGGGACCCGTTGGAATTGGCGAGGGAGGTAGGTGGGTTGGGACTTTGTGTGCGCTCAGCCTTCGGAACACCAGACGTCCCTGGGTGTGAGCGAGGGAGGAGGTCTGCTGACTGCCCTGGCTGTGGGGTTGCCTGGGCTGGTCTGGCATCCTCTGCCGCTCAGGGACAGTCACTGTCTGCGGTGGGAGGGTGTCAGTGACTGGTACTTGATCTTGGCCACAAGAGTTCCCTTCAGTGCCAACAGCCCAGGTGTATGAGGCTTTGTACCCAAGCCAGGGGCTAGATTCTCTGGGCCGCTTGGAGGGAGGCTGAAGACAGCCCCAGTCCTTTCTCAGCAAACCCGAGGAGTCTGCTCCAGTGAGCAGATCCAGCTTGGCCCTCTCTACCACCGACCTTTTCTAAAGAGACTTTCAGCCCCACGGAGCCAGGGCCCTGCCTGTGTGTGACAGCAGGAGACTAAAGGCCACCTGCCCACAGGGTACCCAGCCAGCTGGTCCCACTGCTGTTCCCACCCTCAACTGGTCTGCCTCTCTCCTGCCCCAGGCCCAGTTATGTCGCCAGCGAGGAGAGCCGGATCCTCGTTCTCACTGAGCTGCTGGAGAGAAAAGCCCACTCTCCATTTTACCAGGAAGGCGTGAGCAACGCCCTGCTGAAGATGGCTGAGCTGGGACTGACGCGCGCAGCTGACGTTCTCCTGCGGAATGGGGCCAACCTCAACTTCGAAGGTCAGCTGGAGCCCAGAGGGGCCGGGGTGGGTAGGTGGCTTAAGTGTGGCCCTGCTTTGGGTGGGCGGCCAAGCCTTCGGGGTCTGCTTTTACTGTTCTCTGGGGAGATACTTCCCTCATTTATGTCACGGGTGATGACTAAGGACACCCACATTGGGTGGCCTCCCATCCCCCTGCGGGCTTTCAAATGGCCCTTAACCACCTCTGATCAAGAGCGAGTTTGTCACTGCTTCTACCATGTGATTGCTTTAGCAAACTTTCCCCCAGCTCCCAGCTAAATCCCTGCCTCCATTAACGTGAAAATGTGGCTGCTGGCGCTGTGCCCAGAGCTCAGGGAATGTAATTTTCTGACACTCGTTCTGAGCCACCTTGCGTTCTTGTTCTTGCCACAGGGAGAGGGGAAAACAGATAAGACTCACTGGGCATAAATGACAGCAGGACGCTGTTGGCTTCTAGCTTGTGTGCTGGGGGTGGTGATGGAGCCATTATTCCTTCCCTCTTCGCTTTCACCCTGGGAGGGCAGGCAGAGTCGGCCAGGAGACATGCAGGGCTGACTTGGGGCCGACTTGGGGGTTTTGTGCTGACACAGGATGTGGCCAGGCGTGTCTCCCCTCCCCATTTGAGGACAGGCTCAGAGGCTTCTAGGCTCCTGGAGGGTCACAGAGCTGAGAGAGGTGGGGGAGGCATTGTGAAGTCAGCCACTGGGAGACCCAGCTGTGAGAACTTGGCTTTTATTGCAAGACTTACGGAGCTGTCACTCTGCGTATTCCTCCCAACAGCCCTGTTTAGGTCCCATTTTACAGGAGGAACTAAGACCCGGATTAAGTACGATGTCCATTAATCAGAACAGCCCCAGGATCCAAACCTAGGCCTGACTCCATGCACTGTCCGACGAAGACAGCTGTGTCCCGACCCCTCGTGGTGCTGGGAGCCCTTAGGTCGGAGCACTGCGGCTGGGCTGCCAGGCTGGTCCTGGGACCCTGCGAGAATGTGCCGACAGGCAGGACTGACGTAAGCTGTGTCTGTGCCCTCAGACCCGGTCACCTACTACACGGCCCTGCACATCGCCGTCCTGCGAAACCAGCCTGACATGGTGGAGCTGCTGGTGCGCCACGGGGCCGACATTAACCGCAGGGACCGGGTAAGAGCCAGGTCCGGCCTGCTCTGAAGGGGGGATGTGGTCGGGGCCCTGAGCAGCTCACAGGCCCCCGGGCCGACGCGGCTGTGCTTTCTTGACTCAGATCCACGAGAGCAGCCCCTTGGACCTGGCCAGCGAGGAGCCGGAGCGCCTGCCCTGCCTGCAGCGCCTCCTGGACCTTGGAGCAGATGTCAACGCGGCCGACAAGCATGGTGGGTGCCTCCTGTAGAGGAGCAGGGTGGGCCTGGGCCGAATTGCCTTGTGGGGTTACCCAGGGTAACCCGGGGCGATGGCTTGGCAGGCAGGCTGGAGGCGGCCCCTCTGATGGCACAGCACGGCCGGGCGCACACTGGTGCATTTTGCTGGCTCGCCGAGGCTTGAGAGGCAGTGCGTCATCGGTCCCGTAAGGGCATCTGTAGGAGGAAATGGGGTACCTGTGTGCTCAGCTTCTGAGGGACGGGGCTCCCTGTCGGGAGAGACCCAGCCTGGGTCTCAGGTAGCATCTCAGGGTCTAGAAAAGTCCTGCTTTCCCTGGCCCTTCTGTTCCCATTTTTGTGTGAGTGGAGTGAGAATGGCCAGAAACCTGTCATCCTCCGCGCAGAAACAGAGACACAGATGTAGAGAACAAACGTATGGACACCAAGGGGGGAAAGTGGCAGGGGGGCTGGTGGTGGGATGAATTGGGAGATTGGGATTGACATGTATACACTACCATGTGTAAAACAGATAGCTAGTGGGAACCTGCTATATAAAAAATAAACAAATTCAAAAAATTCAAAAGAAAGAAACCTGTCACCCTCAGCCCCAGGTGAGAGAGGTCAGTCATTATTGAAGTTCGTTTTCTGGTCCCAAGGGTCTGTGTTTCCCTTCCACCTCTGGGGTTGGCCTGACCTCGGCTTCCCGGCCTCCCACTGCCCCCCCCTCACTCTCCCTCCCTAGGAAAGACTGCTCTGCTCCATGCTCTGGCCAGCAGTGACGGGGTGCAAATCCACAACACTGAGAACATCCGCCTCTTGCTGGAAGGAGGTGAGCCTTGTCCTTCCATGCTGCCCCCTGGAACACGAAGCATGGCTTTGCCAGGGTTTAAGGCCTCTTCCCACCGTCTCTTCTCCCTCCTGGTTCTTCTAGGGGCGGATGTCAAGGCTACCACCAAAGACGGGGACACGGTGTTCACCTGCATCATCTTTCTGCTGGGCGAGACGGTGGGAGGTGACAAAGAGGAGGCCCAGTTGATCAACCGCTTCTGCTTCCAAGTAACGCAGCTGCTGCTGGCTCACGGCGCCGACCCCAGCGAGTGCCCAGCCCACGAGTCCCTCACGCACATCTGCCTCAAGAGCTTTAAGCTGCACTTCCCTCTCCTGCGCTTCCTGCTGGAGTCCGGGGCCGCCTATAACTGTTCCCTCCACGGCGCGTCCTGCTGGTCCGGCTTCCACATCATCTTCGAGAGGCTCTGCTCCCACCCAGGCTGCGCGGAGGACGAGAGTCACGTGGACCTGCTGCGCAAAGCTGAGACCGTCCTGGATCTCATGGTGACTAATTCCCACAAACTCCAGCTGCCTGAAAACTTCGATATCCATCCCGTGGGCAGCCTGGCAGACAAGATCCAGGCCCTTCACTTCTCCTTGAGGCAGCTGGAGAGCTACCCCCCACCCCTCAAGCACCTGTGTCGCGTTTACATCCGGCTCTACCTTCAGCCGTGGCCTGTGGACGCGAAGGTCAAGGCCCTGCCTCTGCCCGACAGGCTCAAGTGGTATCTCCTCAGTGAGCACAGTGGCACCGTCGAAGACGACATCTGACAGCTGCGACTGCAGGGAACAGGGTCTGGGCAGCTCAACCTGTTGGTGGATTTAAGTACCTGTGGCAGCCTTAGGGGAGAACCTTCAGCCCCGTCTGTCAGAAGGTGCATGTTGGAGGTGAGACTGGATCCTTACTGAGGACAGAGAAAGCCAGGGGGAACCCGGCAGCTGCAAGCACCCCAGTGGGGAAAGGCTTCCGTCTTCCAGGCAGACCGCCCCCGCTTCCCTCTGGCAGCACCCCCAAGTCTCACCCCACAGTGGAACAAGGGACAGGGTTTAGACTTGGGACACGTTTGTACCCTCTCAGTCTGAGGGAAGCGCCCGGCATTTAGAGAAGCAGGGTAGCTCCGAGACCGGGCCCTCCTGCGGGCTGCAGGAAGCTGGCCTGTTCTGCGTGGAGACGCGGCTGAGGCCGGAGCAGGTGGGAGGGGCCCGCGGGGTGCAGCCCAGCCGAGACCCTGTACACGCGCCTCTGCTCCAGAGTCCGTCAGAAAGTAAGTGCTTCTGGGCAGGCAGGGAGGAAGCTGAGCTGCCTCCTGCGGCGTCTGCAGCTCTGGGCCCAGGTCGCCCCCCAGGGTGCAGGGCTGTGCTCTGGCGGCAGCTGTTTGTGCCAACCCTGGGGTTCTGGGGACCATGCGTTCTACAAAGCAATCATGCATGGCCAGGGGCTGTCCTTCCAGTGTCTCGCTTTGTGCGGGATCATCTGATGGAGGAAGCCACCGAGACTGAAAGCCAGCCTCCGCCCTGGGCTGAGCCCTCAGCAGGCTGTCTGCAAGTCACACAGGGGGTCACTGTGAATTGTGTAAATGCCTGGGAGATGAGCTGAGACAACCGAATGATATATTATAAAATTAAACTGATTTCCCTTGGCCTTAAAGGTCCTTGTATAACATTTCGGCCCCGCCCCCCCCCTTTCCCGAGTTCAGGGTAAAGGGTCCACGGCAGCCGAAGAAGAGGCGGCAGAGGCACGAGGAGATGCCCAGCCAGGAGAGCAGCTTTCAAGCAGCACAGCACTGTTGTCCCAGTAAAGAAAAGCACCACTCCAGACTGGCGAAGGCCTTTCCAGTACAGGGGTTCACCCTTTTATTTTTGACTGAAAATGCCCCCTAAGGAGGAGCCACAAGGCACAGCCGAGAGGGAAGCTCCAGGCCTCTCCCCTCCCTGCAGGCTGTGGTGACGGTCACGTTAAGGGCCCCAGGGCCCCATCTCCAAATAGCACCCGGAACGTGGACATCCCATCAACTGCACCGCTCGGCAGGCACCACGTAGGCTCAGCGCAGGCAGGAGGGTGCTGAGGGCCGCAGGCTCCACGGGCCCAGCTCCGCTCCCCTCCCCTCTGGAGATACAAGGTCCTCGGCAACCGCTTTAGGGGTTACTCTCTTCCTCTTACGCCAGCCAGGCCTGTGGCAGGAAGGCCAGGTGGTGGTACTGGAGAGCAGGGAGTCTCACTTCTGATGGGACCGCCAGATTCCCACGAGGCGAGCATCGGAGGCCCAGGGGTCGCATGGGTCCACAGGGCCCAGTCCCCGCCGCTCACTCCGGCCTCGCTGCCCCATTCAGTGGCACCCCTCCCGACTGGGTCCCCTTATGCCTTTTTAATAAGAGTCTGTATAGTGAGTGGACGGCAGACAGGTATATTTCGTGGCCCCGCTCAGCACCCCCGAACCATCGAGGTTGAGCGTGTGGACCGCGTGCAGCTGCCAGTCCTCCCCCACCCACACTGGTCCCTCTCTCCTGCCAGCCCCACTCATCTCAGGGCTAAGCTGTACACGTGGTAGATCTCGTCCGGAAGGTTCTCCTGCCGCTCCTGGGCCAGGAGGCTGAGGCCTGCGCTGCGGACGATCCTGTGGACCACATCGAGGTCCCGGCACACGCTGCTGTCCACATCGTCCAGGATCACGCCCTCCTGGGCCATGTTGTCTTTGATGACGATGATGCCGTTGGGGCGGAGGCCCCGCTTGCAGCGCCGCAGGAACTCGGCCAGGTGCTGATCGGTCAGGTGGCCTGGGGGAGGCAGAGGCCGTCACGAGGGAAGGATGCCAGCCCCTCCATGCCACTGCGTGTCCACTTGCTGAGCACTTACTCAGTGCTGAACACACAGGGCCACTGGCTTTCAACAGCCCGGAGGGGTTTACCAAAGCCCATTTTAAGAGGAAACGGGCTCAGAAGTCACCTACCCAAGGGCAATCACAACGTATGCCGCTGGGATTTCACCCTGACTGGGTGACTTCCAGGCCGTGCCCAACACCTACACTCCACCCGCCCCTCCTAGGCCTGGATCAGCGGAGTGTACCAGAGTTCCTTCCCTACATCACAACTCCTAACAGGCTTTTGAGGACCACAAAATGCAGGGCAAATCCAGCGTGTTCCCAGCAGCCTGGGCCGCCCACCTGGAGGAGGTGGCCTGCTGCTAGGTGGGCAGCCTGAGGAGAGCACCCTGGGTACGCCTTCAGGCCAAGTGGGTGCAGGACCGGGTGGTAAAGCGGCTCGCTCACTGCGAACGGCAGAGGGCAGCCAGGGCTCCAACTCTTCCTCTTACTGAAAGCCCTTCTTATGAAAACTCATTTCCACATTCTTTGAATGCAGTAAGTTACTGATAATTAAAACTTTTCAACAACAAAATCTGTCCCCAAATGGGTCACAGCAGGTATTGAGTTGAAACAAAACATGGAAGCAAGTGAACCTTGTAGGTGGAGTCCTGGCGAGTGCAGGGAGGATTCGAGGAATGCCCGCTGGCCGCCCTCTGCAGCAGCACCAGAGCCTCAGCTCCCACGGCCTCGGGAAGCCCAGCCTCTGCGGTGAGAGACGTGCAGGCAGGCAGAGAAGGGGCGCGGGATGCTCACCTATCACCCACTGGATCCAGATGACGTCGTAAGAGTGCGGCTCCGGGCTGAAGTCCTGGAGGCCGCAGCAGAAGAAGTTCCTCACTCTCTTGCCTTCCTCACCCAGGTAGGTCTTGGCCTTGACCAGAAAGTCCTCCGTCACGTCCACCATGTCCACCACTCCGAAGAGAGGCAAGAGCAGCCTCTTGGTGATCCTTCCGATGCCGGCTCCGCAGTCCAGGGCGTACGAGGTTCCCGTCTTGTTTGGGCCTTCCTGAAAGAGCAGAGAAGGCACAGACTATAAGGAAGGGTTAGAAAGCCACAGGGACCCTGTCACTGCGAAGGGGCCTTTCCTCACGAGCCCCTGACTACTCAGATCAGGCCTGGGCACAGGCTGGCAGCTGGCACCGGTGGGGCCAGCAGTGGGCGTAAGCACAGCACAGCCTTTTCCTGGGCCACGTGTTTCTAACGTGAAAGCCAACCTCCACGTAAAGGTGTTAAGTAGGTGCGTTCATCTCCTGTCACTCCTGAGACCCCATTAAAAGGACAGCAGCAGAGAGAGAATAAAGAACTCAAGCAGTGAAAGGATGGAAGAGGGCACTCAGTGAACAAATCTGGGAAGATGGAACGTGGGTGGAGCAGGGGGCAAGCAGCAGCCTCGGTGTTTGCCGAGGGACAGGCAGGGAGGCTCTGGCCACGGCGATGCCAGCCTGGCACAGAGGAGGGTGGCGGGGCGAGGAACGAGAAGCTGTGCTGGCCGAACGGCCAACAGCCACAGCCCAGAGGCTTGCAAACACGGCAGGAGAGCAAAGGTTCTGCCTCTGGAAAAATAGAACAGTTTGTGAGGAGACTGCTCCGTTCCGGCACCGAGAGGCCCCAGCGTAACAGCTGCCTCCTGTCGGGTGACCTTGGGGCAAAGCCTGTGAGTCACCCGCCCCACCCGCTCTTCAAGGCCTGGGTCGTGGACACAATGAGGTGACCCTGTGGCGGCGAGTGGGAAGGTGGCGCCCCACGCAGAGCAGGCAGTGCCACCGGCGCCACCGCCTCTCCTCCTGGAGAGCACAGCAGCCCTGCCTACCCTCAGAAACCTCTGCAGGAACTTCCGGGAGCTGGTGATGTCGATGCTGGAGATGTGGCCATACCCCCCGAGCATGCCGTCCACGGTGGCCGGGACCTCCTTCCAGTACGTCTTGGCCTTGGAATAGAATTGTTTCTCATCCTCTATCACCTCGCTCGTCATGCTGTCACCAGCCACGTCTTTGCTCAGGCACCAGACTCAGCAGCGGTGTCCCTGAATAAAAAAAGGAGGGAAGCAGCCAGGTTGAGGGCCCTGGGCTCCCCGCATGCTTCTGCTGGTCACACGATCCTGCCTGACGCAGAGGAGTGGCCAGTGTCCCCCAGCCTGCTTCTACCCATTAGAGGGCATTGCCCCCCGTCTCTTGCATTCAAGTCATTCTGCAAAGCTATCTTCATGTCAGAGCAGGACACCCAGAGTCCTGGCTTCTAGTTCTTTCCTTACCCTACATGACACCTGACTCAGTGGCTTCTGAACCCAAGGTACAGAGAACCCTGATCTACACTTAAGAGAAATGAAAACAAAGCAAGGAACCCAAGCCTCCTACAGCAGACATTCCGGGTGATCCCAGCAGGGCCCGAGGAGCCCCACGCCTGCCTCCCTCCGTCGCGAGTGCAGAAACAAGCTCACTGCGGGGTCTAGTCCACGGTTACCCATGAGCCTGACTCTGTGCCAGGTGCTGTCTGTGAACAGGGAGACGGCCAGGCGGATACACAACCAGACATGTGTGAGGGCTGCGGAGAGGTACAAGGTGCTGGCAGAGCACAGGTGTCAGGAGAAGCGACACACCAGCTAACATCGAGGATGAGGAAGCGTTCGCTCAGCAACCAGGAAGACAGGCGCGTGCGTTGCCCTTCCAACGGGAAACTCGGGGTCCTAAGGGTCATGTTTGCTAGTTCCGACTTCACACCAAAGAGCAGCGAGCCGGAACTACTCTAGGTTAAGCAGGGAGTGGCCTGAGATGTGTGCTTCTGGAAGGCTGCGTTGGCAGCCGCGTGGGCTACAGGGGAGAGTGAAAGCAGACGGCTGGGCCCTGATGGCAGAGCGGAGGCCCACCGCCAGCGCCACATTCAGCCAGCTGGGCCACACCGCGTAGGGGGTGGAGGGTCACACCTCTCCCGAGGCACCGCGCTCATCTACAGATGCTCGCCGTGCGCAGGGCCGTTCCAGCCGCCGTGAGGCTTGTCCAGATAAGGTTCAACACCCAGAGGCTTACAGCAGGGGAGACAGGGAAGAAATGGAACCAACGAGAACACGAGGCAGAAACGAGGACTCTCGTTGAGCCACAAAGGGCTATGGGAACTTGAGGGGTAGAGTCGTCCCTTCCGAATGGCGGGCGGGGCAGCAGCCAGGAGAAGGCCGGGCCCGGAGGACAAGGAATGCTCTGGAAGGGGACAGGGACAGAGCAGAGGTGGCATGGCACGCGTGCCACACAGAGGGCTGGGGACGGCTGGGCTGGCTGCAGTGTGGACAGAGAAAAGAGTGTGGGAGGTGAGCCCGTCCTGGCAGACGGGGCCTGGAGTACAGCGCCCTGAGTGAGCCTGGGGCCACGGGTCCAGTCTGTCAACAACGCGAAACTGATCAGCTGAGTTTCTGAAGGGCAGAGGGGTGCGGGGACCCAGCCTGCGGGGGCTGAGTGGCGACGGTGCAGGAACGGCAGCGCCGTGCCAGGAGACAGAACGGGGGTAGCAGCCACCCATCCTCTGCCCACACGCGTTGCTCACTCTTCGCTGGCCACTGGACCCTCACGACTCACCGCGACCCAGGCACCCCACGAGCCCCGTGTAGAGGAGGGAGGCAATGCACACGGTGGCATCCTACCCAAGGTCAAGGGGCCCGTGCATTTGCCGAGCCCTGGGCCTTCCCCCGTGAGCAGCTGATTTTCAACACAGGGTTTCACTTACGTGTCACCTCAAAGAGGCCTTCCCTGGCCATTCTAAGGTGCCTTCCTCCAACACGCTTACCCGATCCCCGTGGTTCCTGCCTTCGGAGTGCGTATTTCTAGCTGAAATGACAGTTTACTGACCATCTGGCCTCCACTAGAATGGAAGCCCCGAGGTAGGACCTTGCCTTTTCACCACTGCGTCCCGGCACCGAGCCACAGGAGTCCCTCAGTGCAGGGGTGAAAGCCCCCAGTCCCCCAGGAAAGCTGTGCAAGTCTGTGCTCCCGGGGGCTCACTCCGCCCCCTTTACAGTACTCCACGGGGCTGTAGTTAAGTCACTGACCTCCCGGTATGGTCCTCAAAACCAGCTGAAACCCCCGTAAGACCGAGAAGTGCTTTAAGAGCGTCAAGAGAAGTAACAGAAAAGCGCCCTGAGGACAAGCACGGGCCTTCGACACACAACTTAGGGCCCAGAGGCAGCGCAGGGGAACAAAACAAGGCAGGGGAACAAAACAAGAAGCGCTGGGGATCTTCACTGCCATGGCTGTAGCTAGCCTCCGACACACACCTGCACTCTGAACTTGTCCTGGAAGACAAGGAACCTTCCAGAAGCAGCAGGACCACCCCAGCCAAACAACTCAGAAATGCTGCTCCCTGACGCAATTCCACTTCTGCCACGGCCAGCCCTTTCCGGAGACGCCAGCCAGCCAGTGGGGGCACCGGGGGAGGGCCTGGCCTGGCTGCTGGGAACAGATGGGAAGGGGGCCGCCGCCTCGTCCCCGGACCCGGCTCCTTCTGTGGACCCGGGCGTTCCCCGGGGACAGGGGTCACACGCGGGCCTTCTGCGGAACAGGAGGGAGCCGACAGCATCCACAGGCCCCACCAGGGTCGCCCTTAGACCTGGGCTTTGCCACTGTTTCCACCCTCCATAGACCCCTTCCACTGTGCCCCCCGAGACCCCTGGCTCCCCCACCCCTTCAGGTTCTCGAATCAGCTCTCAGACGGATCCCCTCCCTTCCCTGTTCAGGTACAGGGCTTGGGACTCCAATGAGGACGGTTCCAGTTACGGCACCAACCCAAGAGCCCTTCGGGGTGACAGGCTGGGGGGCCTCAGTTCTAAATACTGCCCCCAGCCCTGGCTCACAGCAGCATCCCACACCTGCGCCCCAGCCCACAGGAGGAAGCGGCGCGCTGCTTGTGAGAATGAACTCTCGTTCCAGCCTCCAGGAACGTGACAAGCAAAAGCACGTGGAGACCTGCCAGTCCCCAAGAATGCAGATGTGGCACAGTAAGTGTCACCGTAGCTCCCTGAGAACTGACAGGAGAGGGAGCCAGCAGCTTAAATGTTACCATCCACCTTCCTGGGTTTGGGGGCTGCTTACGTGGACGCGGTCTGAAAGGCCAAGTGGGCTCCCCAGCCCCCGCCGACAGGCACCACAGCAACACTTTCCCAGCCCCTCCGCTGTCACCAGGAAGGACAGCACCAAAGCCGGCCACGCAGCCGTGCTCCCACTCGGGCGAGCTCAGCGAGTCCGGCCCTGTCCCCCTCAGGAAGGACAGCACCAGAGCCGGCCACGCAGCAGTGCTCCCACTCGGATGAGCCCAGCGAGTCCGGCCCCGTCCCCCTCACACAAACTGCTGGCTTTGTATTTGTGTCTGTCACTCCACTGGACTGGGAACTCCAGAAAGCAGTGGCGACACCCTGAGATGTATCACTGTATTTCTCCTGCGTCTCATGTAGCTCATAGGTATTCAACAAGTTCCCTTCCGATCAGATGAACAGAATAAATCCGGGGCCAGACGCTTCCCTGGCTGTACTCTCTCTGCCTGTCTGTCTGCCTTCCCTCCCAGGAGGCCCAGGGACGCTAAGTCTACACCATTAGCCTAACACCTGCTGCGAGGTGGGTGTTTACTAACTGGTTTTGCTGAATGAATCGGAGAAGGACCTTTGTGCGGCCAGTCATTCTCCACTTTTAAGAAAATCCTGCAGACAAAAATCAAATCATTCAAACCCGGTATCACTGAAGCCCTTTACTGACGATACAATTTTTTGCTTTACCAAAAGCCTTACAACATGATTCCTTTAAATGTCAAGGTCCCCCGAATAATCCAATTTACAAGAATTCCACTTACGGGTACATTCTAGGAACAAGCCAGGGGAGGCACATCTAGGCCGGGAAATGGCAAGTATAACTCTGACATTTGTCCTAACAGCTTAGATTCATTAGTAAACATGAGTTCTGGGGCCCTGTCTACACTTTGCCTCCCAGAGTCCAGACTGAGGTGGGCAGGAGGTCCCTAGGAGTCAGAGGGAACGGCGGGGCTGTCCGTCAACCCACAGGAGGTCCTCCTGCACTCTGCCCTGCTGGGATCACAGCAAGGAAGGAGCCACATGGCCGCAGGGACAGGGGAGGGGCCTGGGCGGTCTGGCTTCCTGCACTCTGGGCTAGCTTGGAGGGGAAGTGAGACCCTTTGCTCCTAGGGAACTTCTGCTCCTCAGCAAGTGGAATGTGTCTGTGAATACTTCATGATCATCTGGCCACCTACCCACGCCCCCCTCCAAGGTGTTCAGGGCCACCCCGGCCAGCCGCCCCAGCTATTACTCTGTTCCCAGGATCCATGGAAGAGAATGGGGTTGGAACTGTCACCGTCAGGCTCTGCAGGCTCATCTCGTCCTCATTTACCAGTCTCTAAGGAAAAGCCTGGAAGCATCGGAAGGCACGAGCCCGCTTGATGTTACCTCTTCCTTCCCACACCCTCGTGGACAGGGCCTGTTCTCCCTGGCTCTGTGTGGACAGCCGTTGGACTTCTGAGAATGGCAGGGTGTTCTATGAAAAAGAAAGGGAGGGAGGGAGTAAAGAAGACCAAAAAAAAAAGGCGGGGGGAGCGGGATTTAAAAACAAAGGCTCTGATGGAGTTGAATGAACCGGGTGTGAATCCTGGCTCTGCTTCTCACTGGCTGTGTAAGCGCAGATAAGACACAACCTCAGTTACGTGTCTATCTATAAAATGGGAACAGCAACATTGACTTTCTAGGAAAGCTGTGAGGATTAAACGTGGATATACAAGCGTAAAGTGTTCCATACACTGCTGGGCGTGCATTAATCCCCAAAATCTCTGTCAGATGAGATTCTCATCGATTCTCTCCGCCAAGTGTGAAGCCCTAACGAGAAAATGTGCTGAAAGGCCCCCTAAACCAGAGTGCTGGCCACACCTAAGGGATCATGACTGTTACTGCCGGGTGGTCGTTCCAGTGACTCAGCTCCGCCAATCCGCAGAGGGGAGTGAGCTTCCCATCCACGGAAGCACGGACACCCTGCTGGTTTTGGTGACTCTGTCTGTGATTCTAGGGCTTCTAGTCTCCACCAAAGCATTCTGCGGGTACTTCAACTCTCCCACAGCCCCTAGTTCACAGAGAGAAAAACCATTCCACTCATGGAGTAATGCACACACACAGAAAACCAGGAACAGAACAAGGACGGAATCCAGACTTCTTACTGGGTCAAGGCCCTAGTCCTCCCAGGGGTGCATCCCATCTCACTGGGCAGATTCCATACCTCCAGACCATGTGCAGTACTGCCCAGCCCCACCCGCAAGGCCTCTGCCACCAGCTGGTTCTATCCCTTATTGTACAGAGAAACCACGGTCCAGAGAGAGATCACAGTTGATGGGCAGCAAAGCCTGGGCCTTCTGATACGGCAGCCTCTCTGCCAACAGGCTGACCTTGGCTCCAAGGGCTCCTCGCGGCGGGCTGTCTTTTGAGCGGCACCTATGTTGACCCCTAACTGGGGTCGGGTCCAAGGTGAAATATGATAGCAACGCCTATGTAACCGGGCACTACCCTGTGCCCGACTCTGATCTGAGCATTTTACTGAATCCTCACACCCACCCTCCTAGTGGGTGCTCTCCTTACCCGTTTCTCACAGGGGAAACTGAGGCTCAGAGAGGGAAAAGAACTTGCTGCGGCGGGGGCCGGCGTGGGGGAGTGCCCTGATCAGGCTTGGGGGGCCTCGGCCTTCCTCCTCCCACCCCACCTGGGGCCCAGGGCCGGCCGGCCTGCCGGCGGACCTCCCCGGAGTGCGCACGTGGGGCCCTGCCGGCTCGCGCCCGGGTCACGTGAGGAGCCGGGGCCTCAGGGCGCCCAGGCCGTTGGGGGCCGGGGCCTCCCCTCTCCCGGCGGCCGCCGTCCCCCGCTCCGCCTCGCGCTACTCACCCCACGCGGGGGCTCCTAGGACCCGGGAGAAGAGGACGGGGAAAAGGGAGGGAGGGAGGAGGCGGCGGCGACGGCGGCGGCGGCGAAGACCCCAGCAGCCCCCAAGCAGCTCCACCTAACCTCTACCAGACGTTACACCTCGCGGCGCGCGCCGCCTTTGTCCGCTTACGTCACTTCCGGGCTCCCGGGGGCGGGGCCGCATAGGGCTCCGCCCCGTGGGCTCCGGACCTAACTCGAGTACTGTCCCGGGAAGAGCTTCCAACTCTAAAAAGCCGCACCGCCGACCCTGTCCCGCCTCCAGCTTGCAGCTCATTAGGAGGCGGCACGGCTGGACTTTTAAAAACGAGCGTTCTGTGGAGTTTCCACTGGGTAAAAAGGGGAGGGGGAGCCTTATGCAAGCCTTAATCCCACCCATAACAATTAATATCTTAAAATATACAGATCAAAAAGAAAAAACAAGGAAGAAAAATACCCTTGACAGTGCCAAGGGGTTGCCACTCCAAATAAGCAGAGCAAATCCATGAAATTTCTGTTCCCAAAAGATTGCCCTCCCCTAGGCTCCTGCCATACACAGAAATTCTGGAGCGGTCCCTGAAGCAGCCTTGATGGAAATGAGAGTTTGCAGGTAGGTAGACCTTGTGAACTTTTCCAAGCCTCAGTCTCCACTTCTGCCAGGTAGATGGAATGCTCTGAGGGTTAAATTTGTGGGATATTATGCGTCAAGACTTCAGCCCTGTGCTTGGAGCCGGCTCTCAGTAAATAGAAGCTGACTCATAATATTCGTCATAATATTCATCTATGTCATCATATTCCCAATATTCGTCATAAGTTCTTTTTTCCTAAACTGACATCCTGGCTTAGATTTACAGTGCCTTCCTCTGGGCGTCGCACCAAGGAGGGGCTTAAAATGTGTTTGCTCTAATGAAGAGAAAGCTATGGGGGGGGGGTGCCCTGAAAAGCCCCACCTGCTTTTGAGTCCCCCAAATCTGTCCATATTATGTGGCATCCTCGCTAGGGCACTGCAGGTCAGACTTGGTTCCCCTGGCCTGGGCTCCTCTCCCAAGCTTCATTTTCCATGTCACTATGGCAAGGGGATACATCTTGGGCAATCTCAATCTGGAGGTTTCTATAATCTTTGGGGGGCAGCTCTGAGCCTAGCTTTTTTAGGGGTGCCTAAAAATCCACCCCTACCTTTTTTTCCTGTCAATGGAAGACAAACTCCCTTCCCTACACCTGGACTCCAAGGCCTTTCCAGGTCTGGCCAGTCCACTAACCTCAAAGCCTCTCGCATCTCTGAATTCCCAAGCCTCGCACATAGTAGATGCTCAATAAATGTTTGCAGCATGTAAGGGCTGGAGGCCTCCTTAGAAATCATGTAGGTAGTCTGGTGTTCCTCATCCATTTTTTAAAAACTCACAAACACTTAGAATAAATATAAAAATCTCTCACCTTCCCCACACAATGTTCTGTCTTCCCAAGGAGGTATGCCCTTCCATCCCTGGTTGAGGAGTATTTTCGGAAATGTATTACATTGTCTGGGATGCCTCCTCCAGGCAGACATCTTGTCATTTGAATTCCAAAGTCATTTTATTCATTTTCAAATTGTAAAATCCTACCAGGCCAGTGAAATTACTGGTCCAAACTACACTCGTCCCCCACTCAAGTTTTACAATACAAGCTTTTTCCCTGCCCCCTCCCAGCCAAGAGTCACAGGTGGAGGCCAACAGTCCATTTTACCGTGGAGCCCTGAGAAAGGAGAGATTTATCCAGCACCACACAGCAAGCAGGAACAGAGCATGGACTCACAACTGGTTCCTCATAGTCTCCAGGCCCACCGCATTCTTACTACCCAGTCTTCTAGTGGAAGTTCCACCTCCAAACCCACCCAGCCCAAACATGACCCACCTGAGCCTCCCGGATCCAGAGAGGGTAGCTGAACCCAGGGCCCTCCATCCCTGGCTTGGGCCTGGCTGCCCTGGCCAGGAGTCCCACGCTCCCTTGTGACTGCAGCCTTGGCATCCTGAGCACAACAGCCCCGCCCTCTGCCCCCCAGCCTCAGTGCCCACTTCACCTTGGGCGAGGGGTGGATCATAATGACCCTGAAGAGGCCATGGAGGCAGCAGGGAGGGGCCAGCAGAGGGACCAAGCCGGGAAGACGGGCTCTTCCAAGGAGCAGCCCACCTGGTAGGGGGCTCTAACTTCAGGGGACCGTCTCCGGCCCCGCCCCAAAGCCCCACTAGGGTGAATGTGACACTAGAAACCAGCTCAGAGCTGACAACAATCTGGGAGTGGGGTGTGGTAGGGAGGAAGCAGGCTCTGAGATGCCAGTGTCAGAAATGGGGGGCGGGGGGCTTCCCTGGTGGCGCAGTGGTTGAGAGTCCGCCTGCCGATGCAGGGGACACGGGTTCATGGCCCGGTCCGGGAAGATCCCGCATGCCGCGGAGCAGCTGGGCCCGTGAGCCATGGCCGCCGAGCCTGCATGTCTGGAGCCTGTGCTCCGCAACGGGAGAGGCCACAACAGTGAGAGGCTCGCGAACCGCAAAAAAAAAAAAAAAAAAAAAGAAAGAAAAGAAAAGAAATGGGGGGCGGAGCTGGGGCTCTGTCTCCCAAAGGGGGAGTTTGTTAAAAATATGTCTTGCCCCACCCCAGACCTCTGAATCGGAATCTGGGGCATCTGTATTTTCACTAAGCTCCCACCCAAGGGACTCTGGGGCTCCAGAAGGAATGGGCAGCTGCTGGGCAGGTCACCCTTTCAAGCTGGTTCCAGGTTTCCCAACTCCCACCTCAGCGCTAATAACAGTAACAGCAGGTTGAACACTCCAGATGCTAAGTGCTCTCTACCACGTGGTGCTGTTTCATTCTCACAAAGGAGCAGGCGCTGGGTTATCCCCATTCTGCAGATGAGGGCACTGATAGCAGTTAATTAATTGGCTTGCCCAAGGTACAGCTAATAAGTAGTGGAGCTGAGACTAAATCCTAAATAATAATTTTAAAATATAATAACAACAGCAGCTAGGCTTCCTTGAGCACGTACAACGTGCCTGTCATTATTCTAAGCCATTTAAACGTCACAGTAACTCAAAAAGTGCGTACTCTCACCGTCACCGTTTTTCGGTGAGATGAGGAAACAGAGGATCGGGACGCTCAAGCCTGAAGCCACTTACTGTCTGGCGAGCCAGTGGTAGTAGCCCCGAGCCGCGCTGCCCCGCTCCGGGCGCTACGGCCTGGAGGCGGGTCTACGCCCTCCTCTCCACTTCACACGGTACCGCCCCCACTGGCTTGAGGATGCCCTGGGCTGAGCGCAGGGCCAGACATGCCCCGGCGTCGGCCCAGCTCCTGTGCCCAGCAGATGGCGCCCGAGGGGCTCCCCGGCGGTGGCGATCGCAGACGGAGAGACCCGCTGCTGCCGAGGCTGCTGCTGCCCGAGCTCCGAGCAGCCTCTGGCGCGGGGGCCTCCGGGGGCTCCAGGGCTTCGGAGGGCGGCGCCGAGTGGTGGGAGGCCCCCACGTGTGAGTCCTCAGCCTCGGATCCCGGGGTGGGCGTCAGGCGCCCCCGGTCGCGCCTGCCCGTCCTGCCCACCGTGGCCCAGCGGGCGGCCCGGAACCGACCAAGGGCTGAGGTCGCTGCTGCTGCCGCCCACGCTCTTGGCCGGCGAGCCCCGGGAACCGGCGCCGCGGGCCTGGACAGTGCGAGGATCCCCGCAGGGGCTCGGCCAGGGAGAACCCCGACTCTTTGGGCGACTTCCTAGGAGAGCTCCTCCCCGGCCGGTCCCGGCAGTTCCTGTGCCAGCTCAGGGCCTGAGTCTGCGAAGCAGCCGCGACCACCGAGTGAGGCCCCTACGGCCCCCACGGGGGGGCTGAGTCATTTCCGGTGGGGGTCCCACCACCTGGCGTAGAATAATGGCAGTGTTAGCAGAGTATGCCTGGCAGAGTCCTGGCGATGGCAATCACCCCTTGAGGGTGGGTCTACCACTGCCCCTATTGTACAGATGAGTAAACTGAGGCCCAAGGCCATGCAACCAGGAAGAGCCTGGTAAGGATTGTGCCCAAGAGAAGACTCAGAACTATTTCCACCTCCTCCTGGCTCCCAGCATCCTCACCATCACAACATCAAAGGAGTGTGTCAGAACACTCTGGAAGTCCTCCGCAGTGTCCCCGCTACTCCTTCCTCCCAGACCTGGGGTAAGTGTCAGTGACCTGCTGGTGGGAACAGGGTTGTCATCAATGCTCTGACTATGGGGGACCCTGATCACTCATGCCAGGTGTGGCCTATTTGTCTTCAAGGGGCCAGTCATTGTACTTCAAGAATAGTCTTAAGAAGATTTTGCTCCATCAGATACCTGCCCTCTCCTTCAGGAAAGATCACTCACAATTCACCACGGTCGAGAAGACCGATCAGTGCGTTATGGGAGGATGGGGTAGGGGAGTGGGGAGAAAGGGCATTTCTTTCCTTCCTTTCTTTCCTCTGCCTTTCACCCATGAATGTATCCATCTGTCCACCTGTTCATCCATCTGTGTGTCCATCCATGAATCAGGTCTTCTCCCAACCTGTTCAAGGATCGTCCATCAACATCTATGAATCCATCCACCCATTAATCAGGTCTTCTACCAACACCTTCATAATTCATCGATGAATCCATTCATATATTCATTCTCCCATTCACCCATTCATCCTTGCATACATCTTATCTGTGAACCAGGTCTTTTAAAACCTATTCATGAATCTCTCCACCCATCCATCCACCCATGAATCAGGTCTCCTATTGATCCATTAATCCACGTATCCCTCCATCCAGCCAGCCAGTCAGTCATCCAGCTATCCCCAAATTCCCACAATTCTATCCATCTACCCATGAATCCAGTGACTGATCATCTACCAATCCTTCCATCCACCTGTAAGTCCAGGATGCTATCCATTTTTAGTCTTGAAGCCACGTACAAGTCTACACACTCATCTACATAATCATTCACCCCCCCTATGCATCCATACATGTGCCCATCCTCCTAAGATCCAATCCTTGTATTAAGACCTCTTCGGGAATTCCCTGGCGGTCCAGTGGTTAGGACTCGGTGCTTTCACTGCTGTGGCCCAGGTTCAATCCCCAATCCAGGAACTAAGATCCTGCAAGCCACACGGTGTGGTCAAAAAAAAAAAAAAAAAAACCTTTTCATTAATTCATCTATCTGTCCACCCACCTACCCATCTACCCAGTCTTCCATCCTTTCACACAACCCACCATTCATTCATCCATTTCTTCCTCTAACCTTTACTAGCTTTTACTATATGTCAAATATCGGGGGAAGTAAAATAAGGGATGGGGGTAGGAAGAGCCTGGGCATTAGAGCTTAACTGGGCCTAGATGCTGCAGCTCTAATGGAGGGGGAAAAGAATACAGAAATAATTCCTCCTGCTTAAACAGGCTTAAACATGGATGAAAGGTGAAGAGCATTGCCCATGAGTTTAAAGACCAGGGAGAGGAAATACACTAGACCTGCCATTCCTTCTCATCCTGGACCCATGGCAGACAGTACTAACTGATCACAGCATTTTTCCCCCACTGAGCCTCAGAACCCTTCCTGACACAGTGCTCCAGGCAGACACCACCAGTGGATCAGAGCAGGTGCCAGAAATGAAACACATTTGCCAACCCAGGAACTTTAAATCAATCAGACCAAATAAACACACTACTTCTCATAAGATATAATAAATAAGAGTGTGGAACTCATTATCTTGAATGTAAGCAACAACAGGGATGGATACCTTCACAGTGTTTCACATTCAGGAGCTAATTCTTGAGCACTTTAAGGTGTGTGGGGTTCCCTAGTAGGCCCTGCTGGGGACAGCTGGGTGCATTAGAACACGCTCCAGCAGCATTTGAGAGGAGAAGCTGAGATTTCAGCCCAGTGGGCACAGCTGGGGCAAGCCTTTGGCTGGTCCTCAGGCCAGCACCAAGCAGGCATAGATAAGCAAACAGCTGTTGCATAACTAGGTCCCAACGCCTGTAGCCGACACTGTCTTGGCCATCTCCTGGATGCCTGGCTCTTCAATGGGCTTATGAAAAGCGTCCCCTCTGTGTCCAAACGGACATAAAGATGTGGACAGATACATGGAGTCAGATATATCAATAAGCATTGTACGTAAGGTCAAATGTGGCATTTCTGAATAACAGAGCCGTGGATGAATGAAGCAAGCCCTCCTGCAGCCTTGCTCTGGAGGCTGAAATTAATAAATGTCACCATAACAGATCCCCTTCATTGAGCACAGGCCCCTTGCCAGGCCCTGTACCAGATGCCTCACGTAAGTTATTTGATACTCACCAGACTCTTATAAGGATGCTATTATCGTGTCTACAATACATAGTACATAATTTAAAAGGGAAAACTGTAAAATGGAGACTTGAGGGCAGTCTGCCCCATGTCGCAGGACTGGGAAGGGGCATAATTGAAATTGACGATTATAAGGACAGTTCTCAGTTAGAGATGCTTACCCTTGGCCCTGCAGACCCTGGCCTGGGTGGTGGTGCGGGGGACGGTGCTTTTCAGTCCCTGTCATCGCTTCACAACCCTGTATGGTGGGCACAACAATGATCCCCATTTTACAGACAAAGAAACTCAGGCTCAACAGAGTCAGAATTGAAACCCAGGACTGCCTGACTCCGGAGTTCATCTCCTTATTTTCTCTGCTGAATTGCTTGATATATAAGAGAACTGGCTCTGGAACCAGAATTCACATCTCAGCTCCACCCCTAACCAGCTGTGCGATCTTGGGCAAGTTGCAAAAAACGAAAAACAAAAACGCTCTGTGCCTCAGTTTCCTCATCTGTAAAATGGGAATAATAATCGTGTTTCACAGAGTCGTGTGGGTTTGGTGGGCTGATGCCTGTTACAAGCCATTGACTGAAGGGCAGGAAGTGCTCAGGAGAGGCCAGCTGTGGTTGTCAGGATCCCACAGGGAGCTCTGGCCTGATGGATGTGTGTTGTCAGGGTGGCATGAGGGGCTGGGGCCTCAGGCCCTGGTCCTCCCCTGCCCTTCTCATCTCTCTCACCAGGCCCCACACTACACAGGCCCCCAAGCTCAAGGCCGTGCTCACCCACAGCTCCTCGGGGGAAGGCTCAGGGCACTGCAGGCGGTGTTGCCCTTTCCGCGTGCAGTTTGCAGATGAGACGCTACGGTACACAGCGCTCCGCTACTGGGAACGCAGCTGTGCAGGTGAGGAGACAGCAAGGGAAGCTCCAGGACTCCAGAAAGTTCTAGCCTGAAACCTGAAGAGCAGAGGCTGTGGCCCTGGGTCCTGGGAGTTAGGGGCCGGCCAAAAAGCCCAAGAGACCATTGATCCTGTGGAGGAGGCCCTTGAACTGGCCTCTCCGGAGGCTGTTAGGGTGACCCTCAAGGACCAAGTAGAGGGTCTGAGGTCCAGCAGAGATGTCCCAAGGCTGCAGCTGTGGCCCAGGAAACAGTGGCTGTCCAGGCCTGGCCACCACGGAAGGATTTCTCACTGCCAAGGGTTCCCACACGCTGTATCTGCCCACCTTGGAACCCACAACCTCAGCCTGCAGACCCCGCACATGGCCTCCAGGGTCTGGAGAAGGTAGGAACAAAGGCACCCGAAGCATCCTTTTCCCATATCCCTGAAGGCAGACCTCAGAGGCCTGGCTTGGGAGGTGCCCAGAAAGTTCTAGAAGGTCACGCCTCCACAGAAGGCTGGCATTGCCTGGTCCAGCAAAGAAGCTAGGAACCAACCACCAGGCCCAGGTTCCCAGGCAGAGCTTCGTTCGTGTTGGCACAGTTTCCAGTGTTTTCTGAAGTGGGTGTCAAGCGGTGGGAAGAATACACGTCTTTGCTCTGGTACGATCTTTCCTAAGGCCTGCTTTCCCCATCTGCCCAGCCCCTTCTCTTCTCAGGATCCAGCAGTCCAACAGCCTCATCTATTTATTAAGCACCGACTGTGTGCGCTTTCAGGGATCGGCTGCCCCAAAGCCTCGCTGGGGGCAAAGCCCTCAAAATCCAGGGCCTTGGTGGATTCAGAAGGAGCCCGACCCATCCCCCTCAGGGTCACAGGAAGTTGGAGGTGGAAGCTGCAGTTCTGCCCAACTTCTGGTTGTTCGATGGGGCAGCCAAGGCCCTGAGGGCAGATGACACAGCAGCTGAAAAGAGATGCCAGGGTGCCCCCTGGCCACCCCTGGGAATCCAAGGAAAGGGAGCACCTGGAGAAAGTTTCTTGGGAATGGCCGTTGGCTGGCCCGGGAGACACTTCCTTGACAGCCACTGGGCTGCGGTCATACCCCAGAACACCAGAGTGGAGCTCAGCGGCTGCTTCCCAGCCCTTTCCATCCTGAGGAATTCGGGGTTCCTGACCAGCCGGAGGGGCAGCTGTTGGACAGGAAACACCCTCCATCCCCATAGGATTCTCAGCATCGTCTCTTGGATTTACATGGTGGGACGACTGGAAAATGGGGCCCATGTTGGGCTAAAGCAGGAGTGGGGGTGTGGGGAGGGGGGAGGGGGCACAGCTTCGGTGATAGAGGCAGAAACAGTCATGCAGGATAGTTTTAAAACCAGAGCCTTCCCTGGAGGCAGCCAGAAGGCCCTGGGAGCCTTGGGTTGCCATGGAGACGGGACTCTGCCAGCTCTTGCCTGCCAGAGGGAGGAGGGGGGGGTATAGGTGCCCCGCCTGGGTAGAGATCTCACCCGTGCTCTCTCTCCTCCAGTCCGGCAGGGCATCCTCGAGAACAGGACAGCCAGCGGGTCAGCAGCATCGGAGCAGGTGTTCGGGAGTGTCGGGAGATGGCTGGAGAGTTTGCCCAAAGCCCTGTATCCCAGGGCCAAGGAGGACACCACGGCCAACTCATTCGGCTGGGACTCCCGTGGCCTGTGAGGCTTTGTGGAAGGGGATGGGATTCATGCATCTCCTCATCCTGTAAACCTCCCTGTCCAGCTGTGGTCTGGGCCCTTGAGGGCTCTGCCAGCCATGGGTGGACCTGGGACTCAGGGTCCACACAGTTCATGGGCTCCTGTCCCCCTTAGGTCCACCCTGGAGCCGAAGGACCACCTCTCTGAGGACACCTCTCTGAACAGCAGCCTGCCCTTCATCCCCAGGCCCACCACCTAGAGGCAGCGGAGCGGGGGCACCTCAAAACCTTTCTGGAGCAGGTGGGCAAATCGCCCTGTTCCTGGAGCCGGAAGCTACTGAGCAACTGCTGGCAGCCAGCCGCCTGGAGCCCCCCTGCCTGGTGGGGGTTGGTGCCCAGTGGGGTGGCCAGGGCTCTGGGTGAAACCCCTGTATGTGCTCGGCTAAGGGGTGGGCTCTCAGGCCAGGCTGCCTGGGTTCAGATCGCAAGCTCCTAACTTTCGAACGGTGGGGTCTTTTCCGTGTCAGTTTCCGCATCTGTAAAATGGGGCTGACCACAGTGCCTGCCCCCTCGGGCTGTGGTGTAGAATCCCCCTGGGCCCAGGGAACCCCATCTCCTGCCCAGAGGCCCCCAAAACGCCCAGCTGGTCCCCCTTCTCGCCTTAGGAGTCCTTCCTGCCCAGCTTGGTGTTGCACACGCGGTCCTGAAACAAGGCCGCCCTAAGGGGCACCAGCTTCCCCGGCCGTCAACATCACGTCGCGCTCAGAGGTGAATGGCTGCTGGTGCCCAAGCCCAGGTGTGGACACGGGGGAGGGGTGAGGAGAGGCCTTCCCTGACCCACAAATAAACGCACATCCCCGGTGGCTGGTATCTGCTGTCAGGGCTCACCTTACAAACCTCTCCTAGTTGCTGGTCTTTGGGGGTCCTGGGCCAGGGGGAGGGCTGGGGCGGAGTCACAGCTGGGATGAAGATGGGGGGGCAAGGCATCTTCAGGGGTCAGGCTTATTCCAAATGAGCCCCTCTTCTGGGAGGTGGGAGACCCTGCCACACATCTCAAACCTGGGACCAAGCCTCTGTCAACCTAGATCAGCCCACACCTGAAACAGGCACCTGCCCCAACCTCCCCCAGCCCAGCCTCCATCTTTGACAGGAACCAAAGGCTGCTTGCGGACCTCCCCTGTGGGGTGAGGGCATCCAGACTGTGGCCAAAGGGACAAACATTTGTCTTCTGTGTTCCCAGGCCAGAGTCTTATCCCTGGAGGGCAAGCATCTGGGTGGGCAGGGGTCAGATGTTTCTCTCCCACTTAGGGGGGCAGTGTTCAGGGTCACACAGGAGGTGGCGCAAGACAAGGTGGCAGGAACTGCCTGGAGCTTTTCCGACCGCTGCACTGACCCAGCAGTTCACCCCCATTTGCCTGTCTGCCGGGTTTGGCCCTGCCACACACCTGCGTTCCAACTGCTGGGCAAAGTTTGGGCCCCTCCCCTCTCTCCTAGAAGCGGCGCTTTGGCTCCAACCCCTCGCCAAGGCCGGGATCGAGGTCTTTATCGCCACCTCCTGGCCAGTGAAGAAACAGCCACGGAATCCACACCCAGGCGCAGTGCTGAATAGCAAAGGCTGGGATTTGGGTTGGACCGGCCGTGGGGATTTTAGGGCCAGGACGGGTTGTGGATGGGGGAGAACTGTTTCGAAGGAGGGCCCTGGCTCCAGAAAAGGCCACGGATCTACCAACCCTGTGGGGATGGGTTGGAGCAGTGCTACCATTCCCCTTCACTGGGGAGTGTAGTGGGATTCCGATCCCTGGGATGACCTATCCCCTCCATCCCCACTTTCTGGACTTTCACTCCTCCCCCACTCCCCCCCCCCAGTACTTATATTTCCTGGAGAGCCTACGGGTCCCGGAGGAGGCCTGATTTTACTGCACCTTTTCTTCGTGGCCTTGCACAGCCCACCTGGCCCTCTCCGAGCCTCAGTTTCCCCGGCAGAGCCGCGGCGGACCCCAAACCGGCCACCGGCTGCAGCGTCGCGCCGCGCCCACGCGGGGGCAGTGTTGGCCTGGCTTTGGCACCGCCCGGCGCGGCCGAAACTTCTCAGCCTCTTGCTAAAGGGTCGGAAACTTTTCCCCTCGCGCGGCGCTCGCGTCTCCGGCCCTGCGCCGCGCCGCCTCCTTCCACCTGCCCGAGTTCGCTGCCGGACCGCGGGGCGGGGAGGGGAGGCTGCCCAACCCCCAACTTCTCTTTCTCGCTTTTCGTTGTTCAACCAAAATACTGCTAAGCTTGCAACAGCGCCGTCAGCCACGAGCACTGAAGATTGAGTCCCGCGTGCAGCGCACAGCGGCGGGGGGCGGCCCTGCGGCGTCGGGGCTCCCAAAGCGGGGCGGCCGGACAGCGGCCTCCCGGCGGGGACCTGCCCGGTGGGCTGGGGATGGGGACCCGGCGGGCGGCCACGCGGGCTCCCACAGCCCGGTTTCTCGGGGACCCCTCTGCTCCCCGCCCCCCCCGCCGCCCCGCCCACCTTGCCGGCCTACCTTCCGCTCGCATCGCCCCCCTCGCCCCCGCCCCAGCCCTCCATTTCTTCCTTCCCTCTCTCCGTTCTCCTCCCCTCTCCTCCCTCCGCTCTCTCTTCCCCTCCTCGACAAACATGGATTCTGTGTCAAGAGGACCTTCAGCGGCAGCCCCGAGCCTCCCCTCCCGCCACTGCCAGCAGAAACGCAGGGACACACAGGGACAGCCGCAGACAGGCCCCCGGAGACGCGCCCCACGCGCACAGCACACACTCGTCGCGCACACACGTCACACACGCACACAGATAGGCACCACAAACACCTCCACACCCACACCCATGCAAAGACTCACACCACGACACTTAGAAACCCCACATACTCACAGAGGACACGCGCACGTCCTCCCCAGCTAGGGTCTCCCAGCGACCGCACCCCGACATTCCAGAGGCCACTTGTTGCCTTGGAGGCCGCAGATGCAACCTCCACCCCAGCCCTCTGTAGACCTTTCCAACATGCCCCTGCCCTTCTGCAGGCAGAGCTTGAACTTGAATGTGGGGTGACCAAGAAGGGGGAGTGGAGGGGAGGGAGTGCTGCAGGGAGGGGATGGACCCCTCCCCAGGGTCCCCAGCAGGGTCCTTTTCGCTGGTACATTTCCACTCAGGGCTGGCAGGTGGCCAATCCCGCCTGGGCTCCTGGGAGCAGTGTGGCAGGAAGGCTGGGGAAGTGGCCGTGGCTGGAGCTGGTGCCCCAGCTCTTGCTGCTTGCAAGTTCAGGGCCCCCCCTGAATCTCTGGGGGTGGGCAAGGCAGGCGTAACCCCCACCGGTCTCTTCCAATTCCTGTCTGCCCTTATCACAATAGCAGCCGCACCCCATTCCATCTGCCACCCACACCCCGGCCCTGGACCATGGGAAGACCGGGGCCAACCCAGGCTGGGGGGCAGTGGGAGCTGGTCTAGTTTTGGGGGTGGCGGGGAGGGAGGAATGACTCCCAACCCAGGGCAGAAGGAAGTGATGGGAGAAGCAGGAAAATACTCCTTTCTCCCCGCGGTCCCCACCTCACTGGGCCTCTCCACCCGCTGCAAGGGCATCTCCTTAGCTGTTTGCAGGCAAGGAAACCAAGGCCCAGAGAAGTTAGGGGGTCTTGCCCAGGCCATGCCAAGCGCAGGAGCCAGAGCTGGGACTAGGTCCACGCGTGTCCTATGCCAGTGCCCAGCCTTCAGCCACCCACACCCGTGTCCTCTCACAACCATTTGTCGCTGGGAAACCGAGACCCAGAGAGGTTCATCACTTTCTCAAGGTCACTTCGTTCTGAAGGGTTGGAGTCAGGATTCAAATTCAGCAGGAAGAGATGCCGACGATGTACAATCCTGGGGCTCCCTCGCCCCAGGGCAAGCAGGGGGGTCTGGAGGACCCTTCCTGCCCCGGGTCCTTGCTCCTGCATGAAGGGCACCTTGGAGGCAGGGAGAACGGGGGCAGGGTCAGGGAGGGAGAGAGATGCATTTGGAGGTGGTGTTTGCGGAGGATGTGGAGACTGGCAAGTGAAAGGACAGGAGCAAAGGGTCCTGTGAGCTGCAAGCCTCAAGAATTGCCCAGAGGGTGGGGCTGGACCCGCGGGGAGGTGGGACGGCGGCCTGCCTCCAGACAGGGGCGTGGTCAGAGAGGGTCCCTGCCCCCCAGCTCGGATAGCAATGAGGTGCCACTGGAGACATGGAACCCGAGAGAGCAGGTCCCACGGTGGGCTCTGGGGACATGAGCTGCCCCAGGGGCTCATTCACTTTCATTCTGTGGGCAGTTCGGTGAGCACCTACTGTTTCCCCCCCCCCCCCCCCACACACACACACACGCTGGGCCCTGGGATCACAGTAAGGCATAGCCCTGCCCTCAGGACACTATAGTCTGGTGGGGGACATGGACTCCAATAGGCGATTGCAGGACACAGTGACAAGTGCTGTGAGGGGAGGCCCGGGCTTTGGGGGCCCAGAGGGGGGGACCAAACCCACAGTTTGGGGCACAGGGTGGACACCTGGGCCTTTTGACGACAGTGAGATGGAGGCATGGTCAGAACCAGACAGCAGACCAAGAGCGAGGGAAGGGAGGTGATTGCTACAGGCCCTACGGCGAGGCCGGTGCCATGATTCTTAGCATGGGTCAGGGTAGGGCAAGGGGCCCAGGAGGGCTGTTGATGACGCAGGAGGAAGGGCCGGAGTTCCCCTAGCCAAGACAGGCACACATACACACACCCCCTCTGCCCCGGCCATGCGGGGCTGCGCACTGCTCATTCCTACTGCCTTTGTCTGTGCCATTTATCCTAACTCCCCCCCGACGCCCTGCCCTGCCATGTCCTCCCTTTCCCTGACATTTCTGCCTTTTGGGGTCCTGTTGTCCTTCCCTCCCAGATATGCCCTAAGTGACAGATGGTCTGCAGCTTCCAGGGGCTCCTGCGGGGGGCCATCAACCCCTCCATGGAGACAATGCATGCTCCACCTCCACAAGCCTCAACATTCCCCTGTAAACAGCCTCGGGAAAGGGGGTGACACTGGTGATGTTCATTGTGCCGTTTGGGCCCATCAGAGCCAGCTATGGATGCTGGGTGGAGTCCGAGCCAGCAGCAGAGACTGGACCCGGCACTGGGTTCTGGAACCCTCTTGAGTGGTGGCACTTGGACCCAAAGAGCCAGGGGCGGCTCATCTGCCATCTCCCGTCATGAGGCCTTGGGGACCCTTAATGACTCACCCGCCAGGGTTTCCGGGTTTATTGTCTGCACCTGGCAGCCCTGGGGATGGCGGTGACACCCGCAAGCTCGCAGGGAGCCCCCATCTGGGCTCTGGGCTGGCTTCCAGCTCCCCCAGCTGCAGGGCACAGCAAACCCCAAAGAATCTTCTTCCAGGGACCTGCTGGCCCAGGCAGCCCGGATCCCTAGTGTGCATCCTCCAGGGGACGATGCCTCCCCAGGGCGGCTCCCGAGTAACTGCTGACAGCCCACAGCCATTCCATCATGTTAACCAAGGGTCCATGTGAGCAAGACAGACCTGGGCCCTGCCCTCACGGAGCTCAGAGTTCGCCGGGGACCACAGAGGCACAGCGACAAAGGCTATCGAGCAGGTCCTTGTACAGACATCGGTCCAAAGACTGCCATGCTTCAGAGCTTACTGATCCATGAAGGAGGGCGCAGCTCTGTGAAGTAGGCACACCCTTAGCTCCATATTACTGATGAGAAAACCGGGTCACAGAGAGGTTAAGTCACTTTCCCAGGGTCACACAGCTGAGCTCCAGATGAGAAGTCAGTGAGAAGTGCTGTGATGAGGGATGTACAGGCAGGTGTGCAGGGGAGCACAGGGCAGCTGCCTTCTCTGAGGTGAGGGTTTCCTCCTCCAGAAAAACTAGCCCCAGATTTCCTCTGGCCCAGAGGGAAAGGCCCAGGAGGGCAGGACTGTAGCCAGCATACACAGGCTGACTATCAATGGTAAACTCTGCCCACACCTCAGTTCTGTTCCTTCTCCCGTATTCATTCACAGAACACATTTATTGGGTATCTACTGTGTACCAGGCTCTGTGAACAAGACAGACACACTCCTGCCTCAGGGAGCCCACATCGTGGTGGCCAGGCAGATACAGATGGGGCTGGGCTCACAGGGTGTGACCCCTGCAGTCAGCCACACAGGGGCTTGCCTAAAAGGACCCTCCACTGAGTTTAAAGCCGTCATCTTGAGATTCTTAATTAATTTTGAGCAAGGAGCCCTACATTTTCCCTTTGCCCTGGGCCCTTGCAAACTGTATAGCTGGTCCTGGACACAGACATTACACTGTGGTGGATGCTGGGCTGGGACTACAGGGAGGGCTGGCAGGAGGGTCCACGAGGTTTGCTGGACGTGGCAGTAACACATCAGCTTAGGAGTAGGCTTTCTCCTGACCCCAAATCCTTTCATGGGTCCCCAGCTCCCTCAGGGCAGCTCCCTGGGAGCTGGGTCAGCAACAGGCAGGAGGTCAGGACCAGCAAATCTCCAAAGGGACTTTAAAAATACCCCTGCATGTCTGTATCGACTAAATAACGCACGCCCAGCATCGGTAGGCAGAGGCCAGAAACCAGAGAGAAGAAAGCCCTGCTCAGCCATCCCCCACGAGGCCCTGGTCCCTCCCACTAGGTAACAACGTTTCCTGGGCACCTTCCTGAGTTATTCTGCATCATACAAGGAAGTGCTTACACGTGTGTATTTTTGTATTGTGATACTGACTTTGTTTGTTTGTTTTTTGGTGCGGTGTCGATTTTATATACATGCTGTATTGCACACACTTTCTGCCCTTAGTGTTCCCACTTGTCAGTCTAACTAGGAAATCGGAGAAGCCTCTTTGAAGGTCATTTAATTGTAGAGATGGAGAAACTGAGACCCAGAGTGTCACAGCAAGTGTGGGTGTTCTGGTGGCCCAGGCGTGGCTCCTGGCCTTGGCGTACGGAGACTCGTGGTCCTTCCACGTGCTCATATATGCCCAGGCCTCCCTGACAGCCTCTCTCCTGTCCTAATTTCAAGGACTACCGTGGAGGGAGCCAAAGCTCCATCCCGTGAAGGAGGTACCGTGATGATCTGCATTTCTACATGAGGCTCAGAGAGGTGTGGCCACCATCTTGGGGTCACACAGCTGAACCAAGGTTGGAACCTGCAAAGCTGCACTACCTCCCAGGAGCAGGTTCACATTTCCCTGGGGGAGGGGCACTGCCCCTTGCCATATAATCACAACTTCCCTGTTGCCAGAGGGGGAGGCCCCTGACTTCAGCAGGTGAAAATTGGGCAAAGGACCCTTCCAGCCTGACAGAGCCACCAGGATGGAGCTGGCGGGAGTCCCAGCAAAGCCTGGAGGGTGGGGCTGAGCCAGGTGGCCTTCTGGGGGGGGGGGCAGGTGTGGGTGCATCTCCCATAGGCCCCAGATGCATGGAGGCTCCTGGCAGGCGCCCCTTGGT